ACCTATCATCATTTGAGAAGGCCAGTGTATTTCTGACGGTTGGTTGCTAATGAAATGTAAACTGACTCAAGTTTTCTTGCTGTTACTGAAAGCTTGAGTTTCCATCACAAATATTGCAGAGGAGTATTTAAGCCGAAGTGCTCTTTTGTTCACAGCAATACAATTGAGCTATTTAGTGTTTCTATTTTCTCATATGTTTTGCAAAATGCTATTACTTCTTTTTAGAGTAGGACTTGAAATTAGGGACTGCAGTCACTTACAAGAACTCTTAAAGAGATTGTACTGGCTAACGTTTCATAGCTGCAAGCCTTTAAAGATAACAAGGAGGGTATTCAGGATGACAGGAGGGAACTCTGCAAAATTAATTTTAAAAGGCTGCATAGGAAATTTGGTATCAAAACCAATTTTGTTTCAATATTTTGCTAGTCCCCCTTGCCATTTCATATAGTTTTATGTAGGCTTTAAAATTTGTGTTGAAATCTGCGTGAGATATTAATCTCTAATAAGACCATTAGTAATGGTGATACTGTGATGAGGCAGAATCCCAGGCATACATATAGGGAATTTTAATCCAAAATGAAATTGTGAAATGCGTTTTTTGAGATAGAAGCATATTTGCAAAGTTTCTCCATTAATTCTTTACTTTTATCTGTAGATGTGGTGCTTGTATGAATGTGGGGTTTCTACAAAATCTGCTTTTCTTACTTGGACGTTAGAGCAGTGGGATGTTGCAGCTACTGCATTAGCTTGTAAGAGCAGATATAAAAGATTTCTTGAAGTTTGCTCAGCAGTTTATCAAAGTTCACCAAAACATACTTGAATGTCAGTGCTCCATGTGACTTCATTGGGGAGGGGGGAGCAAACAGGAAGAATAGAAATTGCACTTGTTTTTCTTGTTGCAGGGTCTAATTGTCTATGTAATTTTGCATTTTTCTAATATTTTCCTGCAAGCTGGTGTTTCACAGTCCTAGAGTCAATATAGCTCCAGCTGACCTTGCTGAAGAGTTTTTTAATTACTTACAAGTTAGTGTTTCCTATGTACTTTCTGAGATGACATTTGCAGCTTGAGGAGCTCATAACCGAAGGGATACATACAGCAAGTGTTTTACAGAGATTTGGGTTCGTTACCCTGATACTAGAAGTGCAGGAAGAAGGAGTCAAGAGGAGAAGAACAAGAGGCAACTTACATTCTGCTCTCTTTTACAAGTCACGGGCAAGAAAAGTCTGTGAATTAAAATTTTCATAAAGTAAAGAGTAGGGTAAAAAAGGAAGAGAGCCAAGAACAAGTCTGAGGATCTTAACAAAGACTGGACGAGGGGTTGGGGGAAGTATTCATTGACGGGGTAGATAGTAATGGGCTTGAAAGGGTAATGAGCCAATATGTCCTGTGGTCCTGTTTACACAAACAGAGTTGGTGGAATTTCTGACCTTGGAGATTTTAAAAAGCCACCTAGACATGGTCCTGGGTGACTGTCTCTGGGTGGCCCTAGCTGAGCAGCAGGGTTGGACCAGACGACCTCCAGAGGTCCCTTCCAACCTCAAACATCCTGTTATTCTCTTCATTGAGGAGGGGAGGGGGGGGCTGTGTTTCACAATTAACTCCGCTTAAATAATGCACCTAACAGCAGAACTTGTGCCTGTTTGACTGTGACCCATCAAAACTTCTTAGTAAGGTCCCCCAGGTACTGTCCAAGCCTCTGTGCCACCCTCTTTGGAACAACTTTACTGCATGGGGGTTGATTTTTGGAAGGGGAGACAGAAAAGAAGATTAAGGGATGTGTGGAGCTCAAGACGCTATCGTCTCTTGAAACATGATATCTGTAAGTGGAGTTTCTGGGGCAGTTGGTGGTGGTTTGCAGGGAGTTCTTCCTTCTGTGTGAAGACCATGAAAGACAGATGGAAATATTTTGGCATTTTGTGAAAAAGCGTTCTTTATTATTAGTCTGCTTCCATTTAGAGACTTAGCGTAGTTTTAAAATGTTAACTATTTTCTCAGTACTACCTTGCTATGGAAGTAATTCTTGTGGCAACGACTTCTTTGTTGTGTGAACATGGGCTCTGGAGTGGGAACAGAATGGAAGCAGTAGGAGTTCGTAATCCCATTGCCCTGTTGTTTTTGCTTTTGTATTCTGTTGTATGTTGTTGTAAGTCCAACATTGCATAAACATTATTTTTTTTGTATTTTGGGATTAGCTGCTTTCAAATACAAAATTATTTAATCACTGAATTGTGCTTCAGATCAAGAAAGCTGTATATAGTATTGCTTTAGCCATTCAATAGCGATTTAGTGCGGAATTTTTTGCTGGATGCTTTACAGAGTCATGTCAAGAGCCCTCCTGTATCTGTAGCAGCACTACAGACCCCTTAGTTGTGTTGGGTATTGTGGGGGTTATCACACACACACACACAAAAAAAAAAAAAAAAAAAAAAATCTGTTGCCTGAGATTTCTGCTATAGCTTTGGTTCTTATATTTTTAGTTTGCTAGAGAGAGGGTGGAAGAGCAGTGCATAAGATCAGAATTGGATGCAGATTATCTGCCTAATATGGTTCTCGTTAGCACAAATAATATGAATACTGTTTGGAGAACAAACGGATTACAGAAAAAGAAATGAAAACATCCAGATCCCGAGCATTTGGAAAGCATGACACTGATGTATTTGTGTAACCTTTTCATGAAGAGCGATGCTGAAGTCAAAGAGGGGATTTTGATTTCCTTCATTAAAAGCTTATTAAATGAAGAAATAGGACAGTCGTTGTTTTGCTTCAATAGTTGGGGGTCGCAGAGGCGGGCCTGATCTCCTCAGGATATTAATGCCTGCTTTCAGCTGGGGGAAATGAGCCGTCGCTTGAGTTAGCCGCAGCTTTATGCGCTCGTCACTAGGGATCCCCATATGTCCTGGGATCTGCGGCAGTCGGAAATGGCAGAGCTCGGCAGCCGGGAGCAGAGGGCTCTCATTGCTATTCATAACAGGTAGCTCGGCTCAATCTGCCCAGAGCAAGTCTGTTTAATGTTGATCAGCTGTCCATCTGATAAACTGAATTGATATGGACATTTCCTCCAAGGGCTGCCCTGACAATGACAGCAAGAGCATCGGGATGTCTTGTTAGTCTTTTTCTCCGAGCTTGAAATTTTATTAACCCTTTGTTAGAGCCAAGCCAAGCGTGATTACAGTACTGTGGCTGTAGGTTGTGTGAGTTTCTCCCTTGCCTCTTCGAAAAACAGCATCAACCTTCAATTTTGTTGTCTACATGGAGAATGGCTAGCGGTTTTGTTTTCAGATTAATTTTCTCTGCATGGAGCAAAAATTGTGAATTATAAAGGCAGCTTTTAAAACGGCTTAGGTTTTTTGCGTGTGACAAAATACGTTGGGAACCTCTGTTTATCCTCTCCCCCTGAGCTCATCTACCTTTTGCATGCCTGCCCAGGCTGTGTGGCTCTACCAGCTCTTATTGCTTGCTAATTGGCACGGATCAGTGGCCTGAAACGGTTGCTGCTGGGGCTCTTTGCAGGTCAGATATATTTGGGCAGAAGGTTACTTGAGATTAATATCATTCGGGGCGGGTGCATCACATCTGCACTGTCCAGAGGAAACGGTATTAATTTACTCAGTTCTGTGCCAGTACTGAGGCAGAAACTAACCTGAGCATGTATCAGCAGGTATATGTGTCTGTGAAGGTATGGAGCAGTTTGGTTACTCAATGAATCAGTGTTTGGCCACTTTGGAATAAGCACAGGGAGCGTAACATGTCTTTGTCCTGGGTTGCAATTTAATTTGAACTTTAAGTCCTTTTATTCATCTGTCTAGTTGATCAGCATGCCCTTACATTTTTGCTCTTTTATGAAGTCTCCATTACATAAAGGGAACTGCTTGAGCCAAAAAAGATGTGAATGTGCTGAAGATTTCATAAGGGGGTGGGGGGTGCCCGTGCATATCTAGGTTTGCGGTGTTAAGAGGATGCTCCAGTGCGTTGCTCTGTTCCCACCTCCCCTTGTCCCTGCTCAGTTCTTACGTCTGTTCATCTCTCTGTTGTAGTTCTGAGCTGAGGTGACGTCTCAGGGCTCTGTGGAGTGGCAGCCACTATCAGGGGCTAGGGGTGCCAGCCACTATCAGGGGCTACAGGGTTGAATTGTAGGAGGAGGGAAGGAGAGGATTGTGCTAATGACTCTTTTCATGCCTTCTCCAAAAAATGAAAATAAATAGAGGGCAAGCCTCTATGGGATAACTTCTGTGGCAAGCCTCTCACAGGGATTTGAAACCCCTAAATACAGAATGTAGCACACTGTGTTGGAATAAGAAGTGATTTGTAAACCTATCCAAATAAAATTGTGTCTGCCCCTTTGCTGGACAATCACCTTTGCTGCTTCTGACTAAAACAACCAGTGAAATATCATTAGTACACAGTTTTAAAATGTTCAGCAGCTTCTCCTCTCCCCCCTACGCCCTTCCCCCTTGGCGTTATCGAACTGCAAGGTATCCTGTTATTAATTTAACTCTAATTTGAGCAGTCATTGACTGCAGCATTGTTACGGTGTTCAGATCAGCGTGCTCGTGACTCCCCTGCTGATATGTCCTTTGTTCCTTCCCATCAGTACTTTCTGCTTGGCATTTTCTTCATGTGGTGTCCCTCAAGCTTCTAGAAGACAAAACAAAAAAAGAAAGCACCATGAGGACTGTATTGATTGCTTACCTTTTTTTCACGAAAGAATTCAAACAAAAGACAGTGTTCTTCCAAATGGAACCTATGGTACCTGTGGCTTACCTGGAAATACTTAGGGGCCTGATGAGATACTTCTCTCCGCTTAACACTTCCCGGTTGTGGCTTCTAGAAGTAAATAGAAGAGCTATATGATAATTAATGAAATATCTGTTTAGTATGTAACATGGCCTGTGGTGTTCCGTCCCATCCCTGTCCGTCCGTCGTCCCCCCCCCCCCCGCCCCCGAATCTGTATTTTTATTCGTGGCTTCAAAAATAATTGTACTTTTTCTTTGCTTTCAGTCAACGAAGTCTGGCTGAGATTACGGAACTGATCCACACTGCCTTTCTGGTGCATCGTGGCATAGTAAATATTGGTGAGCTCAAGGCTTGCGATGGCCCACTGAAGGATATGCAGTTTGGAAATAAAATGGCTGTTCTAAGTGGAGATTTTCTTCTAGCAAATGCTTGCACAAGCCTTGCACAGTTGCAGAATACCAAGGTAAAAAGAAAAAAAACTCTTCTATTGGCAGACAAGTAACTATTAGTGAGTCTTCCAAAAGAGAGGTCCTTCAAAAAATCAGCAGTTATGATATATATGTATATATGGAGCATCCTTTTAAAAATCAGCATACATACATTGTAGCTGTAGATGGATGGACAGGCTGCTGCTGCTGTGAACATGTTTACCACTGTCCTATAGAATTACTGTGGTGAGGCCTTTCGTAGACATTCTGGAGTAGTGTAGCCAGAGATAGTAATGGATGAGTGGTTAATTTGGTGAATTTAATGTATATGCAGTGGCATCCTCATGACATGTCAGAGTACAACATCTGGCAGACTGCCAGCTGAAGGCACGTTTGGTTTGTTATTTTGTTTTACCTTGTGCTTTGTGAAATGTTTGTCTGTCTTAGGGAAGGGAAGACAGACAAACTTTCTTTCTTGCGGGGAGAAGCTTCATTCCTTTGTCTACAGAGTGTTCAGATGACTTTTTACTCTTAATGAAATTATTTTATTAGGCATTTGGACACCCCTGAGTATTGGATTGCCCTATTAAGATGGATGTACTGGCTTCTAAAGGGCAACTGCAATCCTGCTGCTCAGCCAAACTGTTCGAAACTTTACAGGCAAATGTTTTTCATGACAAATGAATCGTAGAGCTGTACGATCCTAGAAAATGAGAGTGATAGAGACCTTAAGAGATCATCTCTGTAGTCGGTTCTTCTTTTCCCCAGACACGATCAGCTACACCAATCATTCTTGACACGTGTCTGCCTAGCATGTTCTTAAAACCTCCTGTGGTGCAGAGAGATTCCTGGGCATCCCTGTGCCAGTCTAGTGTAGCACCTAACTACGTGTATGGCTGAAGAGCTTAGTGTGCCGTTCCGGTGGAAACAGAGAACAAGTCGTCTTTGCAGGGGTACTTTTTATATGTCTGAAGATTGCTGACAGATCATAACGTAAAATAAATGTCTGTCTCGTGCAGTTGTCAATAATCAATGTAGTTTTAATCCTGAGCTTAAGGAGTCTGTTGTTTTTAGATTCTCAAGCTAAAGCTCCTCGTGGTGGTAGTTGAGTATTTCTGTACTGCTTTAATCATAAGTGTGACAGTTTCTCTCAAAAGTGGTGTCATTTTGTAACATAGAGCTGTGATTCAGGAGAAGAGACAAAAAAATCAGATGTCAATCCGCTGGAATAGCGGGTTAAGCCATTATGGTGATAACTGGTAGTAAGTATTCAAATAAAGTTTTAAATAGTACAAAATTTTAGTCATACCATATCCAAAATGGGGTGCAGTTGATTTTACTAATTATTGTTGATTTGTATATGTTCTTATGTTTGTTTTGGGTTTTTTTTTTGGTACTTAGTAAGGTTCTCAAGACAGACCAAAGGATTTAACCCGACATCAATTTTTCTTTCAACAGAAGAGGAAACTTTTATAAAATGTAGCACCTATTAGTTTGCATTTTGTACATCATGTAGTATTGCAGCAGCAATGTGTAATCCCTGCAGACTTGCCAGGAAACAAGCCTACAGTGAAATGAAGCACAAGTGCAAAGAAATACTTTTTTACTTTTTTTTTTTAAAGCAATCATTATACTGCATGTCGGAAAATTCTGCCAAAACATTTTAGCACTTTTTTCATTTTTCTGACATCTAAATACTTTCATAGCTTCTACATACGATAAGTGGGATGCCATTATGGAAGCTGATTGACTTAGTAAATTATTCTTTTTCATACGTCTAACCCTACTAGCGAAGTTAGAAAAATTGAAGTACAAGCTATAGAAATCTCTTGACTGGTGCAATGATTTAAACATACTGTATTTATTCTTTTGTAAATGATGAATTTTCAAATTTGGCATCTGTTTTTCAGCAGTGTGAAATAACTGTGACTTTTTTCCTTCATAATGTTTTGTTTTCTTTGATGTACAAAGTAAAAATCACAGTACCACTTTTTTGCTGGCATTTATTTGGTATCTCAGCAAATAGGCTAATGAAATGAGCAGAATTGTATCGTACATGGTACTGACCATGGTAGGCTGTAACCTCTATAGACGTGCATAGCTGTTGTACAGACGAGAATTTAAGCTAAAGGGGCTTTTAACATTAACTGAAACCACTGCTACCAAGTTAATTTTATTGTGCTGTTAAACTCTTGTCTGAGCTTGTGTATGATGCATTTATCTCTGTGCTTCTCTCGGGGCTGACAATTAGATGTGAAATCCTGTAGTCGTAATGAAATGCAGAGCTATTTTATAATTGCCAAGGGTAAAATTAGTAAAGTCAATTATTTTCCCGTAGGCTTTTCCCTGTAGATATTAAAAGGCTGAGAGGTAATTGCCTCAGGTAACACTTTGATTTTTAAATAACATTAAATATAGGAATTGTTGTTGTTAATTCGTAGTAATTTTCCTCTTCTTGCTACTGTTGTAGAATATAACTGTAATGATAACAAGATTCAAGGCTCAGGGTTGTGTTTTTGGAGGTTTCTTTTAAACTAGTGTTCATATTTCTCATGTGTTTGCTAAAGTTATTCAACAGAAGGGTTTGGGGGGTGTTTTGTTGTTTTGGGTTTTTTAAAATATCTTACATACAAGGACTCAAGATTTCTTGAAATGTCAGTTAGGAAGCCTCCTGTAAGATACATTCTGCTGTTGTACTCTTATAAAGTCACCTAAAACTTCGGTTTTTGAACACACAACAATTCAGAAGAAAGCATTCTCATTTTCTACTTTGTGAAATTATGATATGTTAATTATGATTACAAAGTTAGTATTGACTGAGGCTTAAAATAAAGTACTGAAAGGCAGATGCAACTGCATGCTACATTTTTGTAATTATGGCAAAGTCCTACATTTATTCAGACAATAAAAACTGTTTAAAAAATGAACAGTAATTTCTTCAAAAAAACTTTTACAGCTACAAAGCATTAGATTCATCAGATCACTGCGTTTACAACTCTTTTGTATGTTCATGTTAACTTTCTGATCACCTATCCTTTTTTTGTCCACTTTGTATTTTGGATAGTGGCTTTTCTTGGCTTGCTGATTGCGGTGATAAATTATGTTGTTGATTTAAGGTGACATGGATACAACCTTACTTCAGAACTGCATCCTCTAGTAGATTGGACATTGCTAACCCATGGATTTTAGAACAGAATTGTCCTCCAAGAGGAATTGGTTGGGATCTTTTAGTAGTTGGTGTATCAGTAGTGGGTTTAGGAATGATGAGCCTTTGACAAGGAATGGCATGGTTGGTTTTTGCAACTTAAATAACAAGAGAGTAATGCCTGGTAATGTTCTGATTTATTGGTTTGGGCTGTGTTTATATGGGATGATGGAGTTATTTTGATAGGTTTTCTCATTTTGAGGTTGTGGTGTTTTGATACTAGGATTGTGATAAGATACTTGTAAAAGTCATCATAAACATGTTGATGTGTGAGAGATGGAAAAGTAAATGATGTTTGCCTAATAAGGTACCTCCCAACTATCTTGTGGGATGTGTGAGTGACCATATGCAGTTTTAAATAAATATGTGAATAAATTATTAAGAAATGTAAATGGATATGTTTAAGGGTTGGTTCTTTGTTGCCATCTGAAGGTAATAGATCTTTAACGTCTGTTATCTCGCTTTGCCTAGCCAAGGACGTGGGGCTGAAACTGCTAACAGCAAGTTTTGTTGCATGGAAGTGCTTCTTTGACTCTAGTAGCAAAAAGTGTTAGTTTTGTCTTTGACTTCTGCTTCAGTGACCTTCACTTCTTGTGATATTTTGAGAGTAGCATTCAGATGCAAAAACAGCAAAAGTAACAAGCATTAATTGGTATTTTGTCACCTGTCAGCCAGATACACGATATGGACATTTTAACACAAGTGGTGTGTGAATATTTACTGCAATGTTATCAAGTAATGTGCCTTTTCAGGGTGTAACACAGATAAGTTGGAAGCAACCTGTTGCAGCATTAAAGCTGGAGCTTCCTAGAACATCTGAATCATCAGTTGCCTTACGAAACTGTGGAGAGGATGCATAAAAGATTGTGACCAGTTTTGATCCTCCCACACTCTGAAGACAGTGATATGTAAAACTTCAGGAGGATGAAATGATGCATTTTAGTGCAATGCCTACTGTAATGTGCTGATGATTAGAGAAAATTATAAAATAATCTGTAAATTCATTGCTTGCAAATCCATAAACTGATAGGAGGGCACCCCTTTGTATTTAAAAAAGCACACAAACCAACCAACCAAAACCCAACCACCAAAAACAACATACCCAAAACAAAAAATACCCACCCCCCCAAAAGACATTAAAAAAAGAAAATCCTAGCTCAAAAACCTGAAATACATGTAATGGTAGTGTTTTCCATAGTTCTTGCTGAAATTTTAAGAATTGCTCTATTTTTCCCACTATAATTTAGTGAGCTCTTGTTGGAATGATTAAACTGTTCACAGAAGCACTTCAAAATCTGCAGCCTGAAAGCTTGGAACTGAATTTAAGAATCTTGTCTGTCAATGCAGAGCTCTGCCAGAAGATCACATTATAGAGCATTGTTTTATTAAGCATTATTTGTTTATAAATAAACAGTAGCACAGATGTACTACTTATATAGTGGATGCATTTCCTTATGTTAAGTTTATCTATTCCTAAAGGCATAAATGTGTTGTTGACAAAATAGGCCCTGTGTTTGTGTAAACATCAACAAGTTATTCACGTAAGTCTTTGAAGTCTTCCTATTGCGACAGTCTGAGTGTGCACTGTGCTTCATAGAAGAACTGCTTTATCTTGAACTATGGTTTCTACTTCTGTAGCATCCATTGTGGTCCTGTGGGGAATGCTCAATATTGAACTTGAGCAACTTGGTTCCTTGCTGACCAGTGAAGGATATGGAGAGTATCCCCATTCTGGAATTATGCCAGTTGCTCTTTTGTTGTAAATTTTTGAGGATTGACAAACAAGTCAGCTAGAATCTACAATTATAATTTTCAAATGTTTTTTAAGAA